TGGATGGATGGATGGATGGAATAGAGGAGCGGAGGTGCTGGCCCCGAGCGAGGAGTGGGCGGGATGAGCAGAGGGATGAACCTGCGCCGGGCACGGGCTGGGAGAGCCCTTTTATGCCGGGCTGGGCTGGGTTGGCTGAGGTGGATCTCCCCTCTGATGAATTCGGCTTGGCATGTCCGACAGCATTCTGCAGGGTGAACTCACCCCCACACACGCCCTGCTGAGACAATGCAGGAGGTTCTCAGCAACAGGGATTGTTTGGGAATAACTGTCGCCTTCTCCTGCCTCTGGAGACATCCAGACTCGTCGCCTTCCCCGAGCCCCGGGAGGTGAGGATGAGTCACGGCGGGCACGGGGAGAAAACACCGTTCCGAGCGCCTGTCACTCAACAGCCCTGCCTCGGGAAAACTCCGTCCCTCGGCAGCGCTCCCAGCCCTTCTTTCGCTCCCAGCAGGGCTCGGGAAAGTCCGGACCCTGCTGCTTTAGGAGAGGGGTCGGTGCCGGGAGGGGAAACGTTGCACAGCCAAGCCTGCCCTGAATTCCCCCTGCAGTAAATTCAGTTCACTCTGCAGAGAATTCAATTCCCCCTGCCCTGAATTCCCCCCTGCACTGAATTCACTTTGCAGAGAATTCTCCCTGCACTGAATTCCCCCTGCAGTAAATTACCCCTGCAGGGAATTCAATTCACTCTGCACTGAATTTTCCCTGCCCTGAATTCCCTCCCTGCAGTAAATTCACTTTGCAGTGAATTCAATTCACTCTGCATTAAATTCACTCTGCAGTAAATTCACTTTTCAGTGAATTCAATTCCCCCTGCACTGAATTCCCCCCTGCATTGAATTCACTTTGCAGAGAATTCTCCCTGCAGTAAATTCACCCTGCACTGAATTCAATTCACTCTGCTCTGAATTTCCCCTGCCCTGAATTCCCCCTGCAGTGAATCCTCCCTGTAGTAAATTCACTCTGCACTGAATTCAATTCACTCTGCACTGAATTCACTTTGCAGTAAATTCACTTTGCAGTGAATTCAATTCCCCCGCCCTGAATTCCCCCTGCAGTAAATTCACTTTGCAGTAAATTCCCCCCTGTAGTGAACTCCCCCTGCAGTAAATTCACTTTGCAGTGAATTCCCTCTGGACTGAACTCCCCTTGCCCTGAATTGTTTTACCCTGGGGGGTCTCTGATATGTGATTTGTGATAAAATCCTTCTGAGATTTGCCCAGAGAGGTTGTGGAATCCCCATCCCTGGAAGTGCCCAAGGCCAGATTAGAGCCACCTGCTCTGGGGGAAGGAACTGGGGGGGCTTTCAGGTTCCTCCCATCCCATCCCATTCCATAATTCCATGTCCTGCCCGGTCCCCTCCGAGCCACCACGGGAATCTGCAGGGATTTGCTCCCACCCCTCAAAAAACCAAAGCTCAGCTCCCTCATCCCTGCTGAAAATCCTCCTTTGGAAGAACCATTCCGGGATGGAACTGGGGAGTTTGGGGGAGTCCCTTCTGTTCCTGGGAGCTCTGTGAGAGCCGAGCTCTGTCCCCAACCTGTGCTGCTCCCTCGGGACCTTCCCTGGGCAGCAGGAAAACCCCAACCAACAACCCACCCAGGAACAAAGAGCGGGGCAGGCTGTGGGAATGGGAACTGCTCTGACACCTCCCTGGGAGGATCCATTCCCTATGGAAATGGGGCTCTTCCCAACACCCAGTTCACAACCACGGGGTCATTCCCGAGGATTTCATCGGCTCTTCCAGCACAGCTGGGATCCTGCCTCCTTGAACCCAGCAGAGAATCGAATCCACCCTCTCCAGGATTCCCTACAGGACACACAAAGACATCCTGGATCTGTCCTTTCCCGGCACAGCCCCTTGCAGTGGTTTGAGTGATGAATTAAGCAGAAATGTCTAAAAAATAATTCATTTTGAG